ATGTATCTATTATTTTTTATTTTACTTTAGTTTAATTTAGAGAATTAATTCTTTAATCACACTTTCATTTTATTTGGTCAAATTGATCTTTAATTTTGATAAGTTTTGGATATTTTTTTATTTATTATCTTTAGATATTTTAAATGTATCTATTATTTTTTATTTTACTTTAGTTTAATTTAGTGTATTAATTCTTTAATCACAGTTTTATTTTATTTGGTCAAATTGATCTTTAATTATATTTTTTTATGAATTTTTATTTTTTAAAATTAATTTTACCTTAAAATTAATTTTATGATGATGATAAATTCTTTTTTATTATCTAAAAAATTATAATTTTCATCACATATTACTTCAATTTTCCCTTTTAACAATTCATCATACTTCTTGCCAGGTCAAGCTAAATCCAGTGCCTGTTTTCAAAAAAAAAAAAAGTTATTCGGTAATTTTGCTGCTTCTCTTTTCTTTTCTTTTTTTTTTTTGCCACAAGTGCACTAACCGATAATCATTTTATGGAAGACCTCTTTGGCGATTCCAGTGAGGATTCTTTCTCTCACGGGGCTGTGTTACAGAAAGTACTGTAGGTTTTTCGACTAGTTGGGGTCCAGTGTCCACTCCAGGGCCCTTCTCATCGTTTGTTTTGTTTTTTTCTTTCTGGTTTTTGTAGGGGACACAGGTACACGAAACACAAGCAAGTTGTGGAGATTGGCCAATTAAATACACAATATATATGCACATATTTTAATATTGAGATAAATAGTTAAATAATAAAAACTAATTTTTATATTATTAAAATTTTTTATTTATTTTAAAGTCTTAATTACTAGACGTTCTATTAGGGATAATGGCCCAATATATATGCCAAAAGATTAACAGACAATTGATATTCCTGTTAAACACAATTGTAATGGAAGAAGGTAAGAATTCCTAAATATTGCTAACACACAATTTAAGAAAGGTAAAAATATTCCTTAATGAGACGTAGTTAATTAATTTGCTTTACTTCTATAATTTGACCATGGAATCATTACTTCCCACCAAACATAATCTTATAATGATTATTCCGAGGTAAATCCCACGAAAAAAAACATAAAAGCTGTGCATTATTATTATTTTTTTAATTATACAATAAAAAATAATTATTTTCTATTATTTATCTCATTTTACCCACATATCATGTGATTAGAATTCAAAATTTTTTATTTTTAGTAGAATAAGATTATTACTAAGTTATTTATTTCGTTAATAAAGCTTGTACATCAATTGATATGTAAAGAACCCATAAATTTAATGGTTAGTGATGCATACCAAATCTAGTTACAGAAATATAATCTTAGTTTCAGTAGAATATGTTTATAAGCATGGTATAAGGAAGATTATTCTTTTAAAATTCTTTTTAGAGGACGGCCTAAAAGTTAAATTTTTAATTAATATTTTTAAAAATTAATTATTAGATTGAAAATTCTATTTATGTATATTATATATATATTTTTATATTGATATAATATTTATAATATTTTAACAAAAAACTCTAT